CGCCCCCCTGCCGCACAGCGCCGCAGCCACCGACATCTTAGCTGGGACAAGAACCGCGGGGAGTTGTGGGTAATTAGAAGTGCTTCCCTCCCCATGACAGGGGCAGGGCCCTGTTGAGAGGCAAGCCCCGCCCCTCCCGAGGCTCCGCCCCCGCTAACGTCACCTGTCTCCCCGTGGGGGAGCCCGTCTCCTAGCAATGGGCGCGCGAGGCCTGCAACCCCCCCCTCAGGAGAAGGAGCCCCGGCCGCGGCGCGCGGAGGAACCGCAGGCCGCGTGAGTGGGGGCGGGGCGCCCCGGAGGGTCTCGGCAGCTGCGCTGGGGGGAGACGTCTGTGCCGGGCTGGCCCCGCACGGCCTCATCCACGGGCCGCCCCCACAGACACCTCTCCCATACCCCCCGCGGACCCCTCTGCTAGGAGGCAGCCCCCTAACAGACACGGGCTCCGGGAGCAGCGTCCCCCTAGAGAAGGGCACTGGTGCCTTTTTCCCACTCAAACCCTGCCCCGTAAAAGCCACGAGGTGACACTTCCCGAGGGGCCGGCGTGTGGGAGCAGTTGGGAACCGCGGTGCCCAGCCCCACGCCTCAGCCTCTCTGCTAAGACCAGCATGACTGAGGGCACCTGAGCACCCGGCATCCGGGCCCAGCACTTGCGTGTAGGCCTATTTGGCGCATCAGGGAAGTGGTCAGCCTGAGCCCATAGACACCCTGTTGTTGGTGGAGGTTACTAAGTTGCAGCAAGAGTTGTTGGGACAACTACAGTAAAACCAGGGACCAGTGACTTCCTATGAATCTTTGGTCCCTGGTTTTACTGTAGTTGTAGCACCAACCCCTTGATTTTAAGATGATCTGTAGCATGGCGCATTGACAGGTCATCAGGTGACTTGAGTCCAATCCTTGAACCGTGGCTCTGTCTGCCAACGTTGCAAGTCTTTCCACAGGGAAGAGTAGGCTGTTGGCTGGGATTCCTCTCCTGTTCCTTCCTCCGCTCTCTTTTCTGTTTTGAGGGCAAGACACTTTACCTCGAAACGGGCTGCCACTTGGTCGAGGTTGTGGCACCATTGGAGTCGGCTAGCAGTGCTCCAAGGAGGGGGACGCCAAGCAGAGCACACCAGCCAGCGCCCACTGGCTCAGACGAGTCCAAGGAGCCAGTGGACGGTGCCCAGTGAAACTCTCCCTGGAGACCCCAACAGATAAGGCACAGGAAGATGGCCCCACAGTCACCAGGGCCCCCGCCTGGCCGGAGCCTCCTTCCTGGTCACATAGTCGGGTCAGCTTACCTAGGGCTAGATGGAGGGTGACCAGGAGGTCCTGGGACTTGGTGGGGCCATGGGTGGAGAGTGCATAAACAAAAACAGGCAGGGAATAGTGTAATCAGAGTCTCAGCATAAAGTTCTTGAGGAGGTGGTAAAGGGGCTGCAGCCTGGCACACTCAAGATAGGGGACTTTTGCACATAGGATACCCAGCTGAAGTTCTGTGGCCCATGGATATTTATAGACATAGCTATTTGATTTGGACATCGGAAATATATATACCAAAAAAATAGGAATGAGACCCAGTGCTTTTCACAGGCAGCTGTGGCTATGGGTTACAAAGGGAACGCAACAACATGGTTCTGTCCCCACATTACAGAGGAGAAATGTGAACCACAGAGAAGCGGAGTGACTTTCCTGACTCCGTGTGCAGGCTGGTGGTAGAGCCAGGGACCAAACCCAGTTCTGAGTCCCAGCCAGGTGTGCCGTCTTCCAGCAGCACAGGAAATTCCACCTCAGCCAGCTGGAATTCATGCCTCCCTGCCCCAGCTGATGGGCTGGAATACGGGCTGCTGCCCTGTGCTTTCCTCTGCGTTCTGACAGGGCATTGGGTCACCTGATCTGAGTGGACTCAGATCTCTTCACCCAGGCTAACTCTCACAGGCTCCTTCCGTGTAAGTCTGTTCAAAGTTAGTACAGAAATCAGTCTTGGCTTATGGCATCATTCCACTCCCAGCAGATATGGGGAGCACCCCATTAAAGAGTACTGAAAACTGCCTTCCTGACTGTCTGCCTCCTCCGTTGCAAAGATCAGCTTTGTCTTGGCACTCCAGCACTCCAGCTGTTGTTTCTACCATGTAACACTGTTCTGCATGTCTCTCTGCAGGTCCATGGCCTTGATGACCCCCACAACTATCCGCTTGGACAGGAAGAACATTCATGCCATTGAGAACCTGCAAGGCGGGGGAGAAGTCCACAGCCTCTACCTGCAACAGGTAAAATGCTTCACCATACTCTTTTAGGTGTGGTGATGGCACCCCCTGGAGATTAGCTCTGGTCTGGTACATAAGCCAGATTCTTATACTTAGTAACTCCCACTGCAAGCAAGAATGGATTTTATTAGTGGATGTTAAGAGTCCATCTTACTTAGCCATCCTCTAGTACTTTTCATATATAGTAGGTCTTATACTAACAAGAAAAGCCAGTATCATTGGTGCTGTGCTACACCTGGGGAAACCAAAGCACAGAAGGGCAAAGTGACTTGCTCTAAGTCACCCTGCAGGTTAGTGTCAGAACCAGAAGAAAGTTTGTCTCTGAAATAAGGTTGAATTCTATCTACTAAGCAATTTTGCAAGATTGTCATGTATGCTGGGATGAATGAGTCCATTCTTGAGAGGGAGAGAGACTCTAGGGGTGAGAGATTAGAGCAGTGATTCTCAACCAGGGAGCTACACTACCCAGCTTGTAAGGAGCAAAGCACTCTCCTCTTTCTGGTTCCCCACGCCCGCTGCAGCATCTCACAGACCAGTGGTGTCCCCAGCTGCTCTCCTGGGGACTGCTGCCTTACTCGCCTTTTGGCACATCTGGGGTGCTCCCTACTCTGAGCAGCATACTCTGCTGCGGGCAGGTGGACATGTGGCTAGAACCATGCTTCTCAGCTCAGATCACCCCCATGGCTTCTTCTGTGCTCCCAGAGCCAGTGGCAGGGACTGAGGGGGCAGAGGCTCTGGTCACTGGCATGCACAACCCCAGGGGAGCAGCCTTAGGTGCAGGCTCAACCACCTTTATCCCCTCAGGTGTGGACTAGGGGCAGGGAGTGGAACAAGCAGGGTACAGCAGAGCAAGGTCCTGCCCCTGCCACCCTCCCCTGGCACCAGCTAGAGGGGTGATTCTCAATTTTTTTAGTCTCAAAGCAGCCCTCCATCACTTTTCTGAATTTATATTCTAGTTCACTGAATCTCAACTTGCACCCCAGTGTGCCACAAAATTCAGAGAAGTGGTGGAGGACTGCCTTGAAGCTAAGAAGATTGAGAACCACTGGATTAGAGGGGCAATGGCAGGTATTTTAGGCCCAAATCTTAAGGGTTTTTTATTTTGTTTTTCAAATCATAGAGAAGTAGGGCTGGAAGGGCTCTCACAAAGTCATCTAGCCCTGTCTACAACATCCTAAACAAATGTTTGCCTAACTTATTCTTTAAAACTTCAGGAACAAACTTTTACTCAGCTACAAGACATAATGCTCCAAACCTCAAAAAACACATTTACCTTGCCACATATGAAGCAGGGGGATAAGGGCACTGGCAATGTCCTGCCACTGCAAAGATGGGAAGTAATTTGTTGAAGTATGCTCAAGAGATCCAAGGAAAGTGACAATTGTGAACACAACCTTGCGTTTGGATTTCAATATTTCTCTGCAGCATCTGCCACTTAAAATATCACAACCCTGTGCAGATGCTTGAGAGCCTGAAAGTGAATAAAACTAAATGCAGTATTAGCAAACGTGATAGAGACTTATGGCCTTTGACTGAGACACGAATAAACACACAAACAGGACAGAAAAATGGAGAAAAGCATATTTGATTTTTAATTCTTTGCTTTCAAAGATTTCGGCTATTGAATAGAGCATTATGGGTTTAATCATCTAATTGACACAACTAAGGACATTTAGGTTTTAAAAATGATCTGCTTTTTAAAGTAATATTAGAACATCTTAGTTCACCTTAAAATATAATTGGTACAAATCTGAGTACTGCTCTGGCCTCAGCTATCTGGCAGACCTGGTGAGGGTGATCTACCTGTTAAAATCCCATTCTGCAGTTGGATCAGCTCATGGGAATCCCCCTGTCCCATGCAGAGCCCCATCGACTTCAGGGTCTGTGTGGGAATCAGGTTGCAGATTCTGGGCTTTCCATTCTGCTTCTGAAAATATTTGCACATACAGGTGATTTCACGTGTTTGCAAAGCTTACACACATTAGAGAACTCTGAGAAAAGATCCACACGTTCCTTACTTAAAGCTTCCATGTTTTGGAAGCTGCGTGCATGAGTCTCACTCTGACAAACAGATGCTTTACATGTTTTACCATGACTGAAGGGACTGCTCCCCAAAGTCTTGAGTTTGGGCAATTTATTCTCTCTTTTACTGTCCTCTACTCCCACTAGTTATAACAACGACAACAACAATAATCTTGGATCCTTTTAGGAGCGTTGACCCTTTTCCTTCCCTGCAAAGGCAGCCTGCCTTGGAAGGATCTGTATAGGACTGGGAGTCAGGAAGTTCTCAGTCTTGCCACTTCTTTGCTGCATAACTTCAGAGCAGCTGCCATGCCTTAGCTTTCCAAGCTGTTGCATACCTGGCCCTCTGCCTCCGTGACTGTTTGCCCAGGGTGGCAAGCATGCGGTTAATAACCACTGTTATTCCTTATTTCATTTTTCAGAACCAAATTGAGAAAATTGAGAATCTCAGCTGCCTTCCCAATTTACGGTACGTGGGCTTCTAACAGCAGTATTAACTTCACAGATTGCACCTAGAAGAGGCAACTGTTGCAGTGCAGCTGTAACTGCTGTGCACTTTTGCCAGTGCTGGTGTGCTGATCTGAAGATAACACTTTTTTCCTTGGTGGGGGTGAAATTTGATGTGTGCACTGACTTCAGTGTTCTCAAATTAGCTCAATCCTAAAACCTTGGCCCTGGTTCTTTGAATGGTTGGCAGGGCTAACCGGACCTTGTCGTGCATCCACAGGGGCATCTCGAGTAGAGCCAGGGAGGTGATCCTCCCCCTCTATGCGACGCTGGTCAGGCCGCAGCTGGAGTATTGTGTCCAGTTCTGTGCGCCCCATTTCAGGAGGGATGTGGACAACATGGAGAGGGTCCAGAGGAGGGCCACCCGCATGATCCGGGGACAACAGGGCAGACCCTACAGTGAGAAACTGCGGGACCTGAACCTATTCAGCCTCCACAAGAGAAGGCTGAGGGGGGACCTGGTGACCGTCTATAAACTCACTAGGGGGAACCAGAAGGGTTTGGGGGAGACGCTGTTTCCCCTAGCCCCCGCTGGCATAACAAGGAGTAATGGGCACAAGTTGTTGGAGAGGAGGTACAGATTGGACATCCAAAAAAACTACTTCACAGTTAGGGCGGCTAGGAGCTGGAACCAACTTCCAAGGGAGGTGGTGCTGGCCCCTACCCTGGGGATCTTTAAGAGGAGGCTGGATACTTACCTGGCTGGACTCATTTGAGTCCCGTTTTTGTTTTTAGGGTTTGTTGTGGTTTTTTGGGGTTTTTTTTGGGTTGTTCTCCCGCCCTGGCGGGGGGTCGGGCTAGAAGATCTATTAGGTCCCTTCCAACCCTGAAACTATGAAACTATGAAACTATGAATGCACGTAGGACTTTGTCCTCGGGCTCTACATTTTTTCAGGCAAAAATGCAAATTAAATGTTTTTTTCTTTAGAGCCATTGGATCAGATCTCTGTCTTTAGGCCTGGACTCATTCTGACAGAAGGAAACAGGGAGCTTTCAGTAGAAGTTAGATCGGGTTCTGGAAGATCAGCATAGGTTTTATCTTATCTAGCACAACACAGGTCCGTATAGGAATGTTTCCCACAGGAAGTCCCTTGTATTTGTGATTCCTCTTTGTACTCACTGAGGCAACTCCCTTATCTCCTGCTCCCCATGCTCTGCAGATTCCTCTCACTGGCTGGGAACCGCATCCGCACAGTGGAGAACCTCCATGAGCTCCAGCAACTGCAGTTCCTGGACCTGTCACAGAACCAAATTGAGACGCTGGATGCTGGTATGGGAGGTGCACAGAGCTACTGTTGTGGGACAGAGCCAGGCATGCCCTCTTGTCAACCCTTCTGTAGTTTCCAGTGCCATTGTTCTTAATACACTTTCAGGTTGAAGCCATCATTGCTAATACTGCTGCTTCTTGACAATTATGCACTTTCCTAGCCTGGTCCAGCCAAGGATCCTAGTGCAGGAATAAACTGACTCCTATACCATGTGCTTGGTACCATTATTGCCATTACAAGACAGCAAGAAACTACACTGCTTGCTGAAGATCATGCAAGTCAGTGGCACGGCTAGGAATAGAACCCAGGACTTCTGCTCACCAGTGCCCCATTTTAACCCCTAGATACCCACCCCTTTCTTCCCCTAATGATTCTTTTTTCCATTCTACTTTTCATCCTTTATGAAAGCAGAGGCTATTCTTGTCTTGTCTTCGATGAAGTACCTCTTGAGTGTCCCACTAATGGCAATAATATCAGTAGTATAGTACTATATGCACACAGATCTGGGTTACACACATGCAGGCCTGCGTGGGGAACTCACACAGTGAAAGATTTCTTCTTAGATCAGTGATTCTTAACCAGAGCACCACAGCATTCTGGGGTGCCCTGAAATCCTTTCAAGAGTGCAGTGTGGTGCCATGCAGTGTTGGCTACACAGATGTGATTCACCAGATAAACCCAGGGATGTCAAATAAGAATCTGTAATGTTAAAAACATTCTGACCCGGTGTAGTCTTCCTGAGTTCTTTACAACAGAAGAATTGCTTTGTTATTTTTCCATTGTCAAAACTGGAGTAAAAACTAAGAGCTGGCATTTTCTGAGGGGGACCTTGAGTTTGTTGAGGCATGCCTTGGGCTTAAAAATGTTGAGAACATCTTAGATCCTTAGAATCCTGCTACCATTCAGTCTCAGCGTCTAACATGGGTTGGCAACACATGGCCAGTAGGCCAGATCCAGCCCATGGAGCTGGCAGGCTTTGGCTGTGCCCATGCCTGTGCTACACAGTTTCCACCTGTGCCTGTGTTGCTGTCCCTTCTCCCCTCCCACGTCCCCAACTGAAATATGGACACTGCATCCAGCTATGCCAAGGCCATGCAGAAAGTGATAGCAGCACAGATGCAGTTTGCATCTGCCTAGCCCTGGTACAGCTTTCCACCAGCAGAAACCTGCACCACAGGCAGGGAGCTAGGGGCTTGGAGAAGTGGTGACAACATGGGTGTAGCTCCCAGATGCCTTGCATGGCCACAGGGAAAGCACCCTGTCCCTGATGCTCTGCTGAAGCCACCTGGCCTATGTCAGCTTGGAGCTGAGCTGTTCCAGCCTGCGGCTTGTAAAGGTTGCTCACTGCTGACCTAACAGACAGTGGACACATCTACATGAGACACTTAATGCTCAGTAGCCTAATAACACTGTAGTAGTGTGCCAGGCAAAAACTATGCTAGTATGCTACTGTGCAGTAGTATTAAGCTACTGCACAGTAAGCGTCACAAAAAACTGTTCACTGGTGCTACTGCACAGTAACTACTGCACATTAATGAACACGTACATGTGCCCAGTGAGTCCTAGAGGATGGGCCTCCCAACAAATTTTTTAACCAGAACTCGGCAGGCCATTTCTCTTGCCATGACATTCCATGTCCTCTCTTACATTTTGTCTGGATTCATCTGAGCCCTTGAGCACATGCTTCTCCACTGAAGTCAATGGGACTTAAAACACACTTTGTTAAATCAGCCTCCAGCTGATTTTTATTTTCATTTGGGCAGAAAGATGACAAGGTATCACCATGGCAGACACCATGTTTACCTCACTCTCAGGTACAGCAGGCCCTGCCTACACTTTGTGCTTCTAAAAAACAAAAGGGTGCACAGATTAACAACATATCCCTTCATCTAGCTGGGTACTCCCCAAGAAAACCAAAGTTTGAAGGTTATGCTTTCAAGGCAAAAGACCGTCTTGCTATTCATCTCCCTTCTCCGGAATCCTGGAGTTCTCAAGTGCGCCCTTAGTCTGTGGCTGAATGAGCCAAAGGAAGGAATGAGATTTTAAAATACAACAGGGCAATAGCAGGGGACTGAGAATCAGGCCTGTGCTCCATTATGGACTCTGCCTCCCTCACTATATGATGTTAAACCATTTCACCTCCATGCTTCCGTTTCTGCAGGTACAGAGGGATAATACACCTTTATCCTTAGCAGGTGTTTGAGGCTTAAAGCTTGTGAAGCTCTTCAAGAGCTACAGATAGTAGATCCCAAAGCAAAGAGGGGCAAAGGTTTTCAGTGACTTGCAGTCTAACAGAGTACCCAATTAATTGATAGCAGAGAACTCAGATGGCCCCCACTCACATTTTTTCTTTCCCTTGTTCTGTGCAGATGAGCTGCCACAGAGCCTCCTCATTCTCGACTTAACAGGAAACGGATGCACCAACCAAGATGGCTACCGGTGAGTGAGAAAGCCCCTCTCACCAGTTTCATGGACAAGAATTAAGTTCCTCATCTTGCTACAATCTTCTCTGATCCCATTGTGTTTCATATATGAATTGGAGTGCTAAGCAAGGTCTGGCTTATTTAGGTCTAGCACGTGGATGGGAGACCCTTTAAAAAGACACAGTAGAGGCAGAAGGAGCAGGTTTCTTCATGCAGTGCCCCAAGTGAGTCAGTTGCTAGTCACAAGGTAGGGCTCTGCCCCAAAAGGGAACATGGCATAATGGACACTGAGCAGCGCCAGCCAGTGCACCATTCACTAGTTTCCTGATTTGTTTTGTTCACTTTCCTGATTATGTTTTTGTCAACATGCAAATCCTTAAGATCCTCCAGCCTGGGGATCTTAAGTCACTTAAGCCTTGCCTCACTCTACCCTGCACTTAAAGCAGAGTCTTTAAACATTGCTGCTGGTTAGGCTTTTCTGCAGTGACGTCCCCCTATGGTTTGCACTGAAGTCTGTCATTTAACTATAGCTACTGCCTAGCTGGAACAGCAGCCAGGACCTTTGTCCCCTAAGCTGAGGCCTTTACTACATGTGCTAAAGGGCACTAGACCTACTACTAGAGATGCATCCATCTCCTTGAAGCATCAGCCATCAGGAACAGGCAAAAATATGTGGGCTGCTTACCTAGAGCATATAGACTTCTACCCCTTTCTGCTTTTTCTAAGTTTATCACCTGTCTCAGCTCCCTCCTAATATAATCCCCTCCTCTGTCAGTCAAGTTCATTCTGCAGAAGACTATGGATTGGTGAAAGCCCATGACTGATCACAGTACTGTCATCCTGGGGCTGGAAACAGCTGCTACCACCCTAGGTCCTGCCTGCTTCTCCATCTTCCAGCTGGCTGACCCCTAATGGTTGCCAGGTGCTGAGATCTGGTACCATGAAGAAGCTCCCACAAGCTGAGAACTTTGGACATTTATACACATGCTGTGGGAGGCAGGGGAGGGGGAGGGGGCACTTCAATTAGAGTAGCTCCAAGAGCCACTCTAATTGAAGTGCCCAGAGCATTACATGTCAAATAAATTTTATTTAAAGCTCATTAAACAAGCTTTATTTAAAGTGCCCCCACCACCATTTTTCAGCGTGGAAACACTGATATATGTGACGCTGGAGTCTGCTGGAGCATGGTAATTACCCTAACTCAATTAACCAAATCTGCTCCAATGCATTGTAATTACAGCGTGTCAGAGCAACCTCAATGTATGTGTATAGGCGCTCTTAGGGACTGCTGATTCACCAGTCAGTTCTGACTTGGGGTCCTAGAAGCAAACATGTTTTCCTCATACCCTCCCTTACACATTAAGGACCAGTGTGTCATTCAAGTGTAGAACTCATTGCCATCAGATGCTGTGGAAGCTGACAGTTTAGCCAGATTCAAAAAGGGATTGCACAAATTCTTGGAGGAAAGAGGCATCAGTAGCTATTGAGTACAGAAGTTAGTGATAAAGCCTTTGAATTAGAACTTCCTAGACTAGGGGTTCCCAAAGTTTCTATGCCGGGGCCCGGCAAACCATGGCCCAGCAGTCAGCCGACTGTGGCTAGAATTTCCAGCCAGCAGACAAGTAAGAATACCCCTACCCCCACCCTGGGGTGGGCCAAACCCTGCACTACCACAGGCCCTGCAGAAGGAGCCGCAGCCTCTCCGCCCGACTCCGGAGGACCATGGTTTGCCGGTCCGTGCCCACTTCCGATCCGGCAGCCAACTTGCGACAGCCTGGCACCAGGCCATGGCCCAGGGATTGAGAACCCCTGTCCTAGACCTTAAATACTGGAAACTGCAAGTAAGAAAGGAACAGTGGAAAAAACCCTGCTTTATCTCCAGTTCCCTCTCCCTTTCAGCATCCACTCTGCCACTGTGACACACATGATACTGGGCAAGATGGACCCCTACAATCTGATCCAGTAAATGGCAATACTTATATTCTTATTACCCTAGGGAATATTTTGCAAGAGCTCCCTCTCACACTGGCAGCTCATCAGATTCCAGCTTGGGCCATTCCCTTCTGCCTGAAATGCCACAAGATGAACATGAGCCTGCAAGGCGATGCGGCGGCTAGTAAAGCGACCAAAACGCTGGCTTGCATCCATAGATGCTTCTCAAGCAAATCCCGGGACGTCATTCTCCCCCTGTACTCGGCCTTAGTGAGGCCGCAGCTGGAGTACTGTGTCCAGTTTTGGGCTCCACAATTCAAAAAGGATGTGGAGAAGCTTGAGAGAGTCGAGAGAAGAGCCATGATCAGAGGTCAGGGAAGCAGACCCTATGATGACAGGCTGAGAGCCCTGGGGCTCTTTAGCCTGAAAAGGCGCAGGCTCAGGGGTGATCTGATGGCCACCTACAAGTTTATCAGGGGTGACCACCAGTATCTGGGGGAACGTTTGTTCACCAGAGCGCCCCGAGGGATGACGAGGTCGAATGGTCACAAACTACTTCAAGATCGTTTCAGGCTGGACATAAGGAAGAACTTCTTTACTGTCCGAGCCCCCAAGGTCTGGAACAGCCTGCCACCAGAGGTGGTTCAAGCGCCTTCATTGAACACCTTCAAGATGAAACTGGATGCTTATCTTGCTGGGATCCTATGACCCCAGCTGACTTCCTGCCCTTTGGGCTGGGGGCTGGACTCGATGATCTTCCGAGGTCCCTTCCAGCCCTGATGTCTATGAAATCTATGAAAATCTTAACTAGGTATAGTGAAATTTTCACTTTCTGCTCAGATCCATAGTACAGAGCTGCTACTGTTCAGTTTGACATGCAGCTGTCACATGCCACCCTAGAAATAGCCGTAATGGGTAGAGTGATCCCAGAGTGCACATTCTGTGTAAAGTGCTTTGAGAGACGTGAAGGAAACACATTGTATTCTTTTGGCCTTTCCAGGGAGCTGGTACTAGGGGCCTTGCCACATCTTTTAGAGCTGGATAACCAGACTGTCTCCAACCGGAAGAATTCTGCTCCAGCAGAGGAAGAGGAGGAGGATAAGGAAGGAGACGATGGAGCTGCTGTTGACACCGACTCTGAGGAGGATTATGACATCTCTAAACTGATTGGACCTTTCACTGTAGGCAAAGGTACTTAGATTACTGCTGTCAGCCACTGAAAGCAACCAGGGCAAATTTTGTTCTGGGTACAAGGGAGTAAATCCAGACCAACTCCATCCCCTTCTCCTCCAGTTTTGCACTCTATACACTATTTGAGGCTATATGTGTGCGTCAGTACTCATGAAAGGGCCTGTACAGCCTCTCCTCATGCTCCAAAGGTGGGGAAAACCCTTCTGCTCACCAGAAACTCAGCCCATATGCCTGCATCACCACCAGGGGGCACTGGAATGATATACAGGGCTTTGTTTAACCCACCTGTCTGCCTCCTACCCCCTTGCTGGTCTCAAATGTAGAGGGGTATTTTTTATCTTCTCTCACTCCCCTTCCTCGGCAGACTTCTTTGCAGATCTCCACTGGGAGCTGACCAGCCGGTCACAGAGGAGGAGAGAAGAGGTGCTGAAAGAACACCAAGTTTGCATGATGGAACTTGCAGAACGTCAGAGCCTGATGCAACCAACTGGGCACCCCAGCTCAGTGACATGGAAAGACTGGAGGGCAGTGAACCCAATGAAGAAGGGAGGAACACAAGTGAGATCCTCAGCCTCCAGGCCACTTGAGCCCCAGCTCAAACCCAGATCAGGACCTCTGTCATCTACTCCAAAGCCTGCCAGGCAACACAGTGCTGCAGATGCTCCCCAGAAGGCTCCAAACAAGACCAGGACCCAGTTCAAGCCCCCAAAAGAGAAGGCTTGCACTGTGACTAAAACAACAGCCAGCAGAGCCAAGAAGTGACTGGAGCCCAGCCAGCTCCCTTTCCTGCAAAGGCACCTGGGACCTGTCACTGCCCACACCATCTCCAGACCCACAGAAACAACATCACAAAGAGCATGGCTGACATGTAAAGCCCCTTTATTTTAGCTTATTTGCCTGTGGCCTTGTGTCCCAATCTCTCAGGGGATAAGAGGAGGTTGGGGGGTAAGTGCTGCTCAGTAGACAGTTTGTACAGACATCAGCTCCTTCATTCTCCATGGGTAGGTAGGGATCATCTCCATTCTATAGAGGATGGAAGGCTACTAGCTTAGCAGCACTTTCTCCAAGGAAAGAGCAAACGTGAGTACAGGTAGCCCAGCCACCAAATTCAGACCCACCCACCTAGCTGAGGCTCTCCCTTTTTCCAGTTCTCCTGATCCCATATCAGGATACTCAGTACCAGCAGCCCATTAAAATGAGGAGGCCACCATTGAAATTCTGGACTCCAAGAGAATGACAAGTAGTAAGAGAGAAGAGGTGGTGGCTCACATTGGTGGGGGAGGGCTGGGCATGGCCAGGTCAGGAAATTCTAGTCCAAAGGTGTTACCTCCAGTCCAGCATCAGCCCCAACATGGCAGCAGAGTGACAACCCACATGGCTTGAAGCTGCTACTGTGCAGTGGTGGGCAGCTCTGGTCCAATTAAAGAAGCAGTGTTCAGATGTGAGGTGAGGAGTCAGGATTGGGACAGTGGCAAGGGGCTTGCATTTGTCTGAAGTATTCCAAGCTGCAAGAAAAGCAAAACAAAAGAGAAGCAACATCCAGACCCACTAGGGCGAGCAGAATTTTGATACAGGAGGCATGGTTTCAAGGGCTAGGGGTGGGATCCAATTCAAATGCACTCTTGAATATATGTACCCAGCAAGCAATGCTCTACCTTGACTCGCGTGTCACCATTGCCTTGCCCAGTGGGACTTGCTGGCTATCTGAGCCAGAATCCAAGGATGAAAGTGGCTTCAAGTTTTCCAGAGAAGGACAGGATATCAGTGAATATAGTTCGTGCAGCCCCTCTGTGCTATGCTTCCCCAACCCCGTAAGTGGCTAGAAATATGAGTCTTCAGACAGCATGATGAAAACTCTCCCTTTTGGGACAGGCACTAGACCCCTACAGTGTATCTGCCACATGGAAACTGGGCCACAGGGGTCAGTTCCACAACATCTCCCAGAGGCTGAGTTGAGAAGGGATTTTGCTCCATTCATCCGAGGCCCCTGCTCAGACTGGTGCATCTTGGATGCGGCTCTGAAGGGACCTCCTGAGTCACACTCCAGGTCCCTGCTGCCTCAGGCAACCATGCCATTCAGTCCCATTCCCAAACCTATCAAGCTCCATCTTCTAAACAATAAAGAGCAGTGGGAGCAAGAAATCCTTGGAAAGGTTTCTGCAGAGTCTTGTGTGTCTGAAGGTCAGAAGTTTCCTACCAATTCCAGGCCTCTGTTTATCCAGGGCCACATTTATGCCCATCTACTCTTGTAAAAAGGCAAGGGGGAAACAGGTCATGCAGGCAAAGAAAATCAGTGCACTGAGCTGACAATACCTCAGAGCAAACCACCACGAGGAGCACTGGGCAGTACCGAGGAGCCCCCTGACAGAAAAAGACGAGATAAAGGGAGGGGAGTAGTCTCCAAGTCCAGTCCACAAAATCTGCCATGTGTGTCAGTCCTTCCCCAACCAGCCACGCACCTGCTGTGGGACTTATTTGTAGAATTTGATCTCCGTGTCTATACAGTCAAAGAAGAGGTCTGCTAGCTCCTCTGGGTCCAGGGTGATACCACCTGCCAGCATTTCCTTTACAGCCTCCAGGCCCTGCATCTCCAGATCTTGCATGGTCTGCTGGAGCTTTTGGCCCCGCTCCTGCCAGGTAGGAGGAAGAGAGGAGAGGGAGAGAGAGAGAGAGAAATTCAAAACAGAACCACATGGGAGCCTGCTGCTCCTCATGATAGCATGGATTAGGAGCAAGTCCACTGATATCCATGGAGTGACATCAAGCCAGGAGGAGAATAAGGAGCCGAACACAATCCTTCCCCCTTCATCTCCCAGAAACCACACCCTGACCTCACACTAGGAGCTCCACATCTAAACTGCCTCTTACTGTGATGCCAGAACCCATGGAAAGCAGGGAGAGCTCAGTGCCACAGTAGTAGGCCCAGCTACCCAACCCCATTCACAGCACTCAAGAAGCAAGCAGAACCCCAGGGTAGCTAGGGCATGAGCACTGAGTCACCTGGCCTGTCTGCATGAGCTTCACTGCAGCTTGGTGCTCCCGATAGAGTTCATGCCTCCGATCGACTCTGCTCTGGAATCGAGGGACCTTCTTGACAGGATCCTCAGCACCAAAGCTTGGAGACCTCACCTGGGGCACTGGTGTTACATTGGCAACGAAGACAAAGGGTTTAAACACAGACCTGCAGGCCAGGAAGGGGAGAGAAGCAGAAACTGTCAGGGCCTTCACCCAACCCCTTGGATGCTAAGCTGTTCCCAAAGCTTCTCAGGTCAATATGTTTTGGCCACATCTTTCCTAGGGGCTCTC